AGCGTACACCAGCATGCTCTCAAAATGGTGGATCTACACCTTGCCAGTGGCACGAAACGCTCAAAACGTTGCCAAAGTATGAACACACTATAAGCGGATCAGCAGATTTCTGACAACGGAATTATTGATGTTTTCAGCAACAATGCAACACCGTCTTCAATACCTCCTCGTTTATGTCAGAGTGTACTGACGCTGGCGACACGATGAGAGTTTTCGATTGTTTGGTTGGTGCAGATTGCTTGCAGTCTTATTTTATCATATTGCCTTCCTGATTAGCTAGTTTTCATTTAGATGCCGAATGTGGGCGCTGGAGATATGGCGGAGCACGAGAGATCTCGTGAAAGGACCGCTATTGCGATGGTGTGAAGTTTGCTGTTGAGAACATTGTTTATACATATAGTATAGTTCTCTGCGGACGTTGGGCTTGTCAAGGAGGGATGAGTTTGGCACGCTGCCAAACCCGTTCTCCACAAGTTGTTAAAGCGAGCAAGTGATAGGACTGTATCATATCGTTGGTATTACTCGTTTTCCACCACTTTTTGTCACATGCGCGCTTCAACAAGAAGGCAGAGAACGGCTTTGACGGGGTGACACTTTCATACTGCCTAACGCGCCCAAAGGTCCGCAGCAAACTTTACTATAGTTGCTTCCACGCTCAGGACTGAACCCAGAGTTCAGCGCTCATTTTGAACCATTTTGCTTGTTGTCTAAGGCAGCGTTCAGACTTCGCGATAACGCGCTACAATCGGCTGACGCGAAGTAGTCGCAAACGGGAATCGATCGGCGCCGGCCGCTTGTGTTCTGAGAGAGTAAGGGGGGAATGGGAGGGTACAAGTTGCGTAATCACATGGTCTGGTGTCAATCGGCGCTGGTCGCTAGTGCCTTGGGGGACTATAGAGGAACAGGAGGGTATTAGACTGAGTGAAGGCAGCGCCTACCCTCCTTGTTATTCTACCCTCCTTTTTCAGTAACATGAAGCGTCAGCATCCGATTGATTCCAGTGCGCGACTGCTTTCGCTTCTACAGGATTGGAGCGCCGCTGCAATTGTGGCGCGTCGAGGGGCACTACAGCGCATCAAAGAGCGTCATTGCAGAGTCTGAACGCTGCCTAATTGCGGAATCGCCTAACAACGTAAGGGCTTCTGTTACTGTATTTTTAACAGTAAGTGTTATGGAGAAACATCAGCGGCTCTCCGGCATATAACACCTCATACTCGCTGATGGTGGCGTTGCTGGCGCACCTGTCAGGCTGGCAAGTGCGCTTCTGTTGGGAAGTATTTGCGGTTTTTGGCAACTGTAAGTTATTTGTTTTTATGTAACTCAAGACAGCCGACAGTAGTCCTCGAATGACAGATCTGTTCCGCGGCAGGAACGCAATCGCGACGCCATGGTGGGCTAATAGATCTACGGCTCCATACTCCGGGATTGGCGCGGTGCCACGCCCGCCCCAACTCCCGGGTATGGAGGGTAGATAGTGACTCAATGAGGTTGGAGTTTGGGAGTAATAATTTGGCGACCCAGCAGTAGAGAAAGGTGCTCAATAGAGGAGTGTTAAGAGAAACACGTCTCGTTCTGGGTAGTTCGAATTTCTTTCACCAGGTTGATGGAAGGTAGTGTTGATTTTTTCTTGGAGGATTGGCTTCGCAGAGCGGTTGCTTTCCCATCTATAGAGTATAGAAAAGCTCGAACTCTGACAGTAATTGCTTGTTCAGGAGAATGTTACGCTAAATTCTACGGCAATGGACATGTCTAATACAATTATGCAAGAAGTCATTGATGAGGTGCGCCACGTTTCGAGTTGTGGATGATTCCTTTTCCCATCTTCCTTTATACGAATGCTGGTAACTCTAACGTTGGTTTGTTCACGTTGAGATCGCTCAAAGGCGTGGGCTTGATCACGAGGTGGGGCTTCCAGTGTCCCGTCATTGGTGGAAGGAGGCTAAGCCAAAAGGTCTTGTCGTGCGGTGTAGCCCGTCCCATTTCAACCGATAATACTAACCGGATTGCGCGGTTTCTAGCCAACTCATCCACTGCCTTTGATTGCCACTTGATGACTAGGTAGAGCTTCATCCGCCTTGCATGAAACGCTTTGGACTGGACGCTGAGCTTAGTAACGAAAGCTGAAGCTCGAATCTACTAAGAATAGAAGATTATTGAGTGATTATCTACTGTAATTAGCGAAATTAATGAGAGATTGCAGGTCCAAGCAGACCGCGAAGAGGGTGGCGAACGATCGATTTCAACTGCACCAGCAATTCAAAATTCAACGGTAATGTGTAATCACTCAATTATTCAACAGATTCTATTGATTGTTATTGATTCAGGGGTTAGAAAGACAAGGATATATTGCTAAATAATATTCCTCCATTATAGTTCGTTGTCGAAGGTCCCCTGGATAATGTCGAGTTCGATGAACAGATCACAAATGAGGCTTTAGAAAGGTTACGTCTACGTACTCGCGCTTTGAAGCCATACTGCCTTACTAAATATTGGTCCTTTCCACACGCTTGAGGTGAATGGACCCTCATCTGCCTTTGCGTACCTTTTTTCCGCTCAAAAGTACCATGGGACTGGAGGGTAGTAATATCCAGCCATGGTGTTCGTCTCCATACTGGGCGCTGGCGCTATCGCACTCCGCTGAACTTAGCCAAACGCGCTTGCTTGTCTGCACCCTCTCACTTTTGATTGTTCTCTTTCGCTGTGCGCGTGTTCCAGTACTGCATCTTACTAGGGAAGGTCGTCAGGTCGAAGTGACCATTTGTAATGAGTTGTAGCTCACTAGACGTGGTTTCGGACGCTGATCTCGAATCTGCCTTCGAAATTTGCAGAAGCGATTCTCTGAACGGAGTTATGGAGCTTTTCCCTCCGCGTTTACCACGCAACAGGTCATGGGATCGGATCCCTGCTGAGCTTAACTTTTTTGCTTCCAGCGCAAACGTGGCAAAAAGTGGTTGTGGCGTCGCTTCTACATTAGCGCTCTCCTTGACTTGCCTGAAAAACAGTTTGCGTTCGCTTACTGGCGCGCTTAGTGCATCATGATCTAGGAGAATTTTAGGATGTACAGGTGCCCTTGGCGCGCAGTGCAGACGCTTTCGCGCTGAGCGAGTGCCATGTTCGTATTTACGGGGCGTAAACTCGCGCTTAGTAGGTTTCTTAGGGCCAATCTGCCATTTTGACCTGACTTCGAAAAGTGAAGCATCCATGGGTTAGTTCAGTTGATGTTCACACCTATTCGGCTGCAGATACATTCTCCTGCGCAAAGCCTCGTCTTGCCACTTCTTACGCATTCATGTTGTTACTGCTCCAGTTCTCCTGGTATCCTAAAAGCAAATTCCGTCCAAAGACAAGCAATTGACAAGAGACTGGCCCTGGAACTATTGATGACCATCATTCGATCAACTGCTACCGCACTTTTCGTAGTTAAGGTCAAAAACCTCATATCTGGCTAGACCCCTTATCCCGGGAAGGGTAGTTTTGCTCCCTGAACACGAATATGGCACCCATTTGGCGTTTGAGTGTTTTCTAGACTTAAAAGAGACATTCCCCACAAAATGCAAAGAAGTTCCTTCCATTCGAACCCTTCGTGGCATGCCCGCGAAGCAAGACCATTACCACTACACCATGCCGCCGTAGAACGTAAGGGTTCTTCCCGGCTATTCATGCGACATGGCTGGCAACCGCGCTCGACTCCGTTTTCTATTTTAATTCTAACAAGCCATCATAATTCCTTTCAGAGAATCGCTTTGCAAATTTCAAAGGCAGATTCGAGATCAGCGTCCAAAACCACGTCTAGTGAGCTACATCTCATTACAAACGGCCACTTCGACCTGACGACCTTCCCTAGTTAGTATCGACGCAAGTGCTGCAGAATGAGAACGACAACCGTGTAACACTACCCTCCTATCTCATTCCGGTGCGCTTCTGAGCGGAGAAACCGGCACGCTACCGCAGCTGCGGTCACCTCGTATATGGAAAGGACGTCTTCGGCAGGGGAAAGTACGGTTTTTCTCTGAAGACACAGTGTGAACGATTCCTGGGCATTGTGCAATTGCCTGAAAGTGGATGCCATTATTCTTACATGTTAGGTGGCTCAGTTTCTACTTAGAGCGCCATTACCGTAATCTTGTCACAACTTGCCCTTGTTCCGTGTCTTTAAAATAAATTATCTGCTCTAGCAAACTATCTTTTCAGAAATGCAATGTTGATATGGACATTGGCAATGAGACGATTAATATTGTCACCTCCGAAACATCTTTCGGCGCTGGCGACAAGTTGCACACATCTGAAGTGGATTCATTGAACTCACCTGCCACAGAACGAAGCCAGATCGCGTCACGAATGACCTTCCAATGTCCAAAGACACCGGCGAACACCACTATAGTTCTGGACACTGAAACAAGAACTACTGATACTAAGGTTAGCCGTCTATGGATCAGTCTTAATTTGGCCAGTGATCTTGAGTAATGAATCGATGGGGGGGGGGGTCGAGTTCGGAGTAATCTTCGCTGCGGATGGTGGGTATATCAAGAGGCCGGGTTCAGCGCGACCAGTTTACCACCAGTAATTGCCGATTGCTCGCTTCAGCAATGGGTGGAGAACAGGCTGGCATTGCGCCAACCACCCGCGAACCTGCCCGCATCCATCTCCAGACAATAAGATTGGCGCATGTCTACGAACTTTTCCTTGGCAATCACCAGCCCCATACTTGAACTATGTGTCTGGCCCAGGCTGCAGGTTGCGCAACCCTCGCGTGGCAGGCCATAATCCTATTGCTTTTCGACGCCAAATTTTCCCGCTGGTTTGCGCATGTGGTAGACCAGATTTGGAGTCTTTGTCGTCAAGTCCACCTAAAGGCGCGTGCGGAAGTCGAGATCATTTGCAGTAAAGGAGGGTCGTATCGTTCAACGACGAGAGGCGGATCGTCTTTTTTGCTGACCCCCCCTTCTACACAGGACATGCCTGCCGACTGGCTAATCGCGGGTGGGGCTCTGCAAGATATGAGTGCTCAGTACTTCTTACAGTACAGTACATTAGCTGATTCTAAATTTGAATCGGTTTGTCCTACTATTTCCGCAGTTAGTAAGAAGTTTATTGACAAGCAGCCAATCAGACAGGCGGGATTAGCGCTTCTTATAAAGTTTTTGTGGAAATTGGGACCTCAAATATTCGAGTAATTACCAGGCAAGAAGGACAGAGGGTTGTGCACACTTTTGACTTCAGGTTTTAAGCGGCCATAACTGAACCATAATACAATTAAATAATTTTAGGACAGGACTGGAACCATAAATTTGTTTACAACGCCTGATAAGTCAATGATTTCAACGAGACCAGAGGTAGGATCTGTCATCATTGCTTTCCAAGAAAAATTAGCGTTATTCACTTTTTGCCAGTATAAAATCCAAAATGCGGCTGTTACATGCGTAGATCTTTTTAGCGCCGGAGTTATTGAGCGCTATTAAGGCATTAAAAAGACGGAAAGCGATTTTGATTGTCATAATGATTTCCAATCAAATGGCTCGAGTGAGAAGTGCTGTTCTTTCTCTCTTTCCATTTTTTTAGATGTTGAAATTTCCAAGGCTAACTTTCCGGGTACTGCTGAAGTCTTTTTGGGGTCCTACTAGTCCCATAGAGAAGAAAGGCACACATCTGCCAGCTGAAGTAACGCAAAACGTTACTGAATGCGAAGATGTAGAAGTTCAACGAAGAGCAGAAGTTTCTTGCTACCCTGTTGAAGACCACTTCGCTGGCGAAGCGTTGCTGGAGAGCAAGGTAAATTTTTTTTGATACTGATCTATAGTATGACGGCAGTCGCCTCGCCGGCTGACGCCGGCGTGGCTCCTTCTGATACGGCCCGGCTGCGCCGGGCGGGCGCGGCTTCGCCGCGCGTGCTTTCTTTCACATATTTCTAGATTCAACTGATATCCCCCTTTTGTTCTGTACTCCATTTTTTCCGGTGTCTGAAGTACTCTTGAGCTATTTTACAGATTCTTCGTCTGACTCCGTCCACCTCGGAGCAGGCCACAATGTTTGTGCCCCACAATCCTCACCGACGACCCTCTCCTGACCTTAATCCACTTTTTTCCGGTCTTTGAAGTGCTCTGGGACAGTTTTAGGGAATTTTTGTCTGGCTCCGCCCACCTCGGAGCAGGCTCCGCCCACAATGTTTTTGCCCCACAATCCTCACCGACGACCCTCTGCTGACCTTGATCCACTTTTTTCCGGTCATTGAAGTGCTCTGGGACAGTTTTAGGGAAATTTCGTCTGGCTCCGCCCACCTCACGCTGGCCCCGCCCACAATGTTTTTGCCCCACAATCCTCACCCGCGACCCTCTGCTGACACCTTGAATCTCACTTTTTTCGCAGGTGCTTTGAAGTGCTCATGGAGCCGTTTTACAGATCTTTTTGTCTGACTCCGGCCGCACCTTCGGAGCATGGGCTCGCCCACAATGTTTTGCCCCTAGCAATCTTAACTTATTTGGAGTGTTCTGGAACGCAGAGCTAGCAAAGCATTTAAATGAAGTACGCCTTGGCGATTTAGGCAAGCTCCGCCCACTGTGGGCGGGTCTCAACACGCTTTGAGCGTGCCCTATATTCGCCAGATATTTACATTCTACTCCGAGCTTTTTGCGACTTCCATATATCTCCTCACCCTGTCGTAATCGCGTGATTTTGCGAGAAGCACCGCCCACCTTGAGCCCCGCCCATTTAGGGTGTACCTGCCACAGTTAGTCTGGCGACTCCTTACTAACCTTATTCCCTTTTTCCCCCATCTTTAGGCTGCCCCGGAAGCGAATTATGAACATTTTTGTGCGGAACCCCAAACTTTCGGGGAGTGCCCCGCCCACTGTGGGCGGAGCTTCCCTTAAGTCAAGTGTGCTTTTTATTTCTTGTCCGCATCGCGTCGCCTACCATCGCGCCCACCTTGACCGGACCTCTCCAAGTCGTTCTTCAGGTCGAACCGAATTTCCGGACAGACAAACTTACAAACAAACAAACAAACTTACAAACAAACTTACAAACAAACAAACAAACAAACAAACAAACAAACAAAGCGAATTATATATATGGGGTGATTTTGTGCGGAACCCCAAACTTTCGGGGAGTGCCCCGCCCACTGTGGGCGGAGCTTCCCTTAAGTCAAGTGTGCTTTTTATTTCTTGTCCCACGCCCTACCCATCCCCACCTGACCGGACCCTCCTAAGTCCGTTCTTCAGGTGGAGAGGAAAGAAGAAAGGGGAAAAAACAAACGCGAATTTCCGGACAGACAAAGCTCCACAAAACAAACAAACAAACTTACAAACAAACAAACAAACCAAACAAACAAACAAACAAACAAACGAACAGACAAAGCGAATTATATATATGGGGTGATATATATGGGGGATTCTTAGTCTGAAGTGTAAAGTGTAGTTGTAGTGTAATGCCTGCTTCAAGAAGCGTGGAATGTGTTTATTCAATAAAACGAAAAGCTGAGGTTAATGAGAAGTATTATATTAGGTTGGCGGGAAAGTTCTGTCACATTTTTTCAAACAAGGCTTTCTTTTTATAGAGAGGCGTACAAGATCAAAATTATACAGCAATGTCATTGCGGAATCCCTGCCAGTTTTCGAGCACTTCGTGGATGCCATCGCTTCACAATGGAGGCTGGCACGACGCAATGTTGGACATCATCTCAACTTTGACTTGGGCTCAAGTCGTGGAGGTTTTCTCGGCTGTGCAACGGTTGAATACAGGAGTTGACTAGCAGCCAGAAAGAGCAATGTCTGGACTACATCATTGCAAGGGGAGAGCCATCCAGCTCCATTGCATGAAGTACGGCTCGAACTTTTTTGACGGGGTGTGCTGCACCAGCACGTTGAAGACGGACTGTGCCGATGGATTTTGCCCTCTGCTTGACGATTCGCTTCAGATCTCGTAGCTGCCTTGCGTACGGATTAACCGAGGAGACAGCTTCTTTATACAGTAGTTTCCCGGCCCACAGCTATCTCAAGCTGAGATCACAGGTACTCCCAAACATCACTTCGCCATTCGCACCGTAGCCTCCCGCTCTGAAGAGCCAGCGTCGTGGAAGATTGTCAGATGACTGTAGACATTGTCCATGTGCAGCTCCGTTATTTCGGCGTCGACAGCTGTCATGCTGGCGCCAGGGCGGTAGAAGAAAGAGTTTGAGGAAGCACTTGGAGGGGTCGGTGCCAAAGGTAGCGGATAACATTCTTGTTCATATTGCACGATAAGGAGAGGCAGGAGTCAAGCCAGTGATACCAATAGAAAGACCATTCTTTGATGTATAAGTGCTCATATTACCGGTTAACGCTTTTCAGAAAATTAGCAAATATTTTGGGTTCAAAAATATATGACAGAACTTTCCCGCCAACCTAATATAGATCTCAGTTAATTAGCTCCCTCTTTCATCAATGACCCGCTTCCAGCTCCCCGAGAGCGTTTTGACCACTGGCACCCTCGTTTTTTCAACAAATACGAGTAAAAGGCAAGTTGAACCCTACTCTCGGTATTGTTTGTCTCCGAGCATCGCATTAAAGACACATGGTACGCTCAAACACATTGAGGGTGTATGAGACTATCAGCCCCCCAGCTGTCGATGTGTCGTGGTCCCCCGCCCAAAACTGCACGGGGTTAGAGTACAGGGCCGTGGAAAGTCTAATTCGTCCATGCTCCGCCCAAAATGCAAGTTGCGGCGCAGACTCCCCTTATGCTACCAGCCGTCTGCGCTGCGCGTGTCGCGTGCGCCGGCTGCTTGGCCTTGTCGCGTGTGGCTACTTTCAAAGCGTGAAAGTCCCGCAAAGGTCAAGGTACTTTCCGACCTATCCCATATTATGAGTTTTCCATAAGGCCACTCCGCCGTAGACGAGGAAGCAAACACCTACGTTGTATTCAATGAGGATGTGGCTTGTCATGGCAGAGTGTCTGCGTTTCTATTAGCGCTTACAAACTGGAATTATTCAAGATTTCGAAAAGTAGGTTAAGCGAATAGAATCGCACCACAAGCAGAATGATGGCCGCCTACTCAAGCTTCTGGAGACGCAGCCGAACGTAATCAACAGTAACAGCCTCTATAGGCTGCACCTAAGTGACAATTGCCATACTTCTCTGGGTTTTCGGTTATAGGGAAAACTTATTTGTAAAGGATGCATCATATGTTGAACCAGTCTCATAAAGCGCACCGGATAGCCTTAACTGAGTCTTCTTTCCCTTGTACGCAATGGAAGAACTTTTGCGAGACCTCGCGATTGGTAGCAATTGTTGGAGTCCTTGCGTAAACTATGCACGCATCCCTCTCAGCATCTCTCAAGAAGGAAAGTAGATTGCATAGCTAAAAGCAGATGAGGATAAAGATTTCGCTGTGTTATTGGTGGGACTTCGAAGCAATGCCGCTGAGTACTGGCAGACAGCCACAGTCGACACTAATCAACATCAAAACATGGATGACATGACGTTTGAAATCATTCAGAAACGCTCATTTTCTCTCTGCTACTCGGCAATGTGAAGAACACATAGGAGGATCAGACTACGCCAAAAGATCATGGATCTTGATGAGGGAATGCGACCGTACCCAGCTTATTTACCAAAGTTAGCATCCTCTAGGTGTACCTCATTTGATCCGTACCGCATCCATTAGAAAGCAAAAAATTCCGAATTTGACGTCTGACTGCAAATGGTGCTCCAGCCGTCTTTTCATTGTAATCGCCGTTAGTGGCTGTAAGAGAATGCGAGCGTGAAGAGAGCCAGTGCAATCTGAAAATCTGTGCAAAAAGGAGGCCTAGTCCTAGGCGCATTAAATGAATGATTAAACCTTGTAGATTGGAGGTCTCTTTTTCAGTGAAAGGAAAATTTGGTGGGCGCAAAAAGTAGGTCCAAGTGTGGCAGGACTTTCTTTCCAACCTAATAGTTTATGGTGCCATCCACCTGTCGATCTGACTAACAGCGAATAGGTAATATATGCCAACAGTGACGGTTTTGCTCTGTGTAGCCACAGTGCAAGAAACTATTGCCGTAATGGTTGCTCTGCTTGAGCACCGCGTACTCGCTCGGCCATTCTCCAGATCCATTCGCACACACTCGTTATCAGTAAAGTCAGTCGGAAGGGGGACATCAGCGATCGTGAGCCTAGTCATCACAACCCCCTTAGCCCCTTTTTCAGCGCTGACTGAACGGCCCAAGTCTCAGCAGGTTAAAAAAGTTTTTTGGGAAAAAACGGGATGGCTCTACGTACGCCACGCGCCCTCACACCGCCCGACTTACTGTAGTGATAATTGACCGTAACGGTCCACTTAATGGAGCTCGATTATCACAGCAAAAAATGGCTTTTTGCATTTAATTAGGGGCATTAACGTGGCCGCCATTGAAATCTACACAACCCGAAGAAAACCCTGCATTCGATGGTGACCATTCCATTGGCCTCTGAACGCCGATGGCTATCGCGAGGACGTGATGAGGAAATGGATCTATCGCACCGAGATGGTTAGTCACTTCCACTTGATTATCCTGTCTTCTGTTTTGTCGTGAGCTAAAGTCAATGTCATTATTTCAGGGCGAGAACATTTCGTTAGCTCAAGTAGCTATCTCAAGTGCTGGTCCTCAGGACTCTATGGATGATATTCAGGTTTCTTTTTTGATAAGGTTGAGCTATAGACGGTCATCTCGGATCAAGGGGACTGGAGTACCAGTTGCTCGTAACACAAAGCTATTGGAATATTTCGAGCAATTCGTATTTTGGCGCTTCTGCCATTGAAAAAAAATGTCTTATCCAGAGGGAGGTCTTTCAGGTCGTGGCGCGCTTTTCGGAAATGATTTGTTGCATGTTGTAGAGGTCCATATAAGGATCACAAAAATGGGTTTCATTTTTGCTATGCGTTTCTGGGTAGGTCAAAAACTGAGTGCAAAGTTTGCTGGGGAGAAGCGATTTTGAACCATTTTTCCGAGGCTTTTTCTATTCATAATGTTAAGTATGCATAGCAGATGAGACCTTCGTCGACACTGCATCGAAAACAATACAATTCAAGGTAAAAAGTACTTTATTTGGCACATAGTGAGGCAGCATTGTAGTTTCTCAAGAGATTCTCGCAGCATCCCAACCCGCAGCTGGCGTGAGGGGGGTGTTCAGAGCCATGTTGGCGCCAAATGACCTAGACGCCAATTTTAAAGGTCAGAATCGTCATCAGGGCCATTAATAACCTCTATATACAGACTTTCAGCAAAAATTTTCTCCTCTAGATGAGCGCTTAACAGCCCCTGCGTGCGGGTTGGCAACAATTCAGTGGAAGAATGCTCTTGCAGCAAGTCGGCGCTAGGCTGCGCCGTGGTCAAAAATGGGTGTCGTAAATCCAAAACCGAAAAACGTATAAAGTATCCGAAAAATGCAAAGAGTTAGTCGCCAAGGGGATCCGATCCAAGAACCTTCTTCGCGAGAGCCCACCGCACTATCCACTCCGCCATCCACCGACCACGAAACAGCGGTTGCGAGAATCGTTCAAGTAACTTCGGTATTACTCCCCTCCGTCCACTTTCTTATTGGCTTTACTTTGCTATCTTTTCAATACATAGTGAAGGGACACCTCATGAATTATGCACTGTCAAAGTTACAGCTACAACAGAGCCCATTAACACGGTTAAAATCGCGATTTCTCGTCAAATTGTTTTCACTCAGTTTTTGACCTCCCCAGAAACGCATAGCAAAAATGAAACCCATTTTTGTAAACCTTGCATGGACCCCTACAACAAGCAACAAACCATTTTTAAAAAACGCGCCACGACCTCAAAGACCTCCCTTGTTAGTGAGTTTCAAATACCAACAAGCTGGGCTAAATGAGTTTGAAGGCTAAACTGTGGCACGCCACTTCCCCCCCCCCCCAAGGCGGTTTCTTGTCTATTGGGGCGAAGATCGGCTTGGCAGGCTGTACAATGTGTTAGCATTTTCGGGCAATTGCGAGGGCGCTAACGGCAAGGGCAGAAGGCGTATGCGATTACTGGAATAACCGTTTCGCGGACGTCTCTATCATCAAGAATGCAGATCTTCTGCCTGGTAACTAGATCCGCATTCGAACAACGGCGATCCAGGGTTGAGAGGACCAGAGTGAGGGGGCGCAAACAAGTAGCGAGTTAAGCTGTGGTTAGGCGTGTCGCTGGGCCTCACACTAGTGTCATTTTAGAACAGGAGCTCAGGACTTATTGGAGAAAATGGGTCAGCGGTGCGAGTGACTCCTCCCATACCGTAAGCGCGAAGCGGGCCGTAAAACGTGTTGATTTTGCAGGAACAAGATTTCGAGCAATTCTGTACGAACAGGAAATGAAGCTGTAGCACTGGCTGAGACCATGCGAACGTTAGAAGGAAATGTCGAGAAATTCCACATGTATGCGTAATTACTGCGTCGAATTCACGTCACTTAATTGTTTTCTTTCCGTATCTATCGCGATTTTAAGGTATCGGCGTGATCATCGAACTTTCACAACCGATTATTCTATCAGTGATTCGCTGAACGAGACAAATATAACAAGAAGGGGATGTTTCCCATTATGGTATGGTGCTTTATTAACTCGCTGAACGTCCTGAAATGAAAGAACGATATTGTTCTTAAGGAGCGATTGCGTATTGTTGGTAGTGGCGTTCAGTAACGAACCTATAGTTGCCAAGTGACTCTCAAGGGAAGAAAAAAAAAAAGCTAAGAAAAATTCTGAGAACACCGTAACGACCCTCTGGCGCCCTCACTTTAGGTGTTCTCCCTGGCTGCTCGTTTTATGTCAAAGCAGCCTCGAACGCCTGGCTGCCTCTGGCTCGCCTGGGATCGTTTCTTCGCGTCAATCCGATCCTAATACGCATCCTAACATTGAAGAACAAGAGAAAAACACGGTCAGCAACAAAAAACTGGAATTCTTGACGGGATAGTAGGCTCTATGAGTTGGCAGTGGTGGGACAAGCGGCAAGGGAGGCGTGAGAACTGCTACCCATGAGGGCTTCATTACTCACTGCGAAAAAGGGGCAGTTTTAGAGAATGCCGGTCAAACTGCTTGAACGACGGAAGACGCCTACGAATTCGTTGAGTGCGGGACTGTCTTCAAAGGAAAGGAAAACGTGCAAGATAAATCGCCTATGATCGCTTCCTTATGGGAACTGAAAGAAATGTTAATTGACAGCACAGGCCAGAGAACGTTGAGAAGCCGTCAGAAAAGCCTTAAACCCTGTGGGCACGATTTCTGGCGGTAGGCGGTTTTTGCCGACAGCGGTGGTAGGGTTGAGGTTGAGTAGGGCAGGGCCAAACGCCCAACTCGCAGCTCTTGCACCAATGACGTTGGCAGTGACCGCCGCGCCTCCTCGCCGTCGTACCGTCCTGCCTTTGATTAGGCCCGTTCAAACCTTTGACGGAGTATGTGACGTACCAATGTCTTAGTCAAGGCTTCTCAAGCAAATCATCTTCAAACCACATAAGCGTCAATGAAGAGGCTATGTTTTATCGCGCAGCTTCCTTTATTATATGTGTGTTTATTGGGAAGGGGGGGGGGTCGTAATTTTCAGAAAATGATCACAACGCGATGGCGTGCCCTGCGGACAGCACGGAGAAGACGGGCACCGCAACCATTGGTTCAATGCAACCATTGTCAATGAGGGGACTGACAAACAACGAAAATTGAGACCTAATGACCTTATCGACTTCTCTGCAGTACTTCCCTACATGGTGTTCGTAACGGTTGATTAGAAAGAAAGAGCTTTTCATAGGTGGTCGTTCTAGTTTTTTCACCTACTTCATTTCTGCTCTCTCGGTAGAGAGTTAGCATAGTTGCTGGGTCTGACGCTTTAATTTAGAAAGATTCGAAGAAAGAAAGTCGGCAACATTGACGAGGAATGCGAACGGCTTGTTGGACAAACGATGCCAAGAACTCAGGGAGTTTTGAAATTATTTTGAAACTACCAAGAACGGTCTATCTCCGGGAACTCTCAAGCTGATTCGCCAACGTGGAGCCGCAGGAGCCGCTTAGAGCTCCCAGCTGACGTCCGAGCTTGTGAACCTCTACAGAGTGATAAAGAAAGAGCAGCATCACTGGGGGAACAACAGAGGCTGAGAGCAGCATGAGCAACGCCCGCCGATTTTGTCAACTGTGAGACCAAGATCGTCGGCGCTCGAAAGGGCAATAGGGAAGGTCATCTACTACTTCTACCTCGATTGTGACACTCAGGTCCTCCTGCCATCGTACCGCTCGGAGCAGGAGTTCCTTCACTTTCACCTTCCAGCGTCCGACATGCCATCTTTCCGGTGAAGAATCGTACGACACCCGGTAACAGTGTCAGACCCGAACATCTGAAGAATCGTCCGCTGAAACTCTGGCTCTACCCTTCACGCGCTACCTGCCGTGCCATCGATCTCACTGCAGGGACGAATGGAGTCGTTACTGATGCTCGCACGAGCAAAGAAAGCATAGGTGATACTCGCTCGAATTCCAATATATTCGAAAGTGTGCAGTTGATTTATTGCGTGCTAATTTCAGATTAGCTTTTTGATGCAACTTCTGACCGCACAAAAATCTGGATCCAACATCGTGACTTTTAGGAAGGTTTTCCGAATCTTTCCAAGTTGTCCTCGAACTTCTATTGAAAATCGGTTCCATCGAATGTTCACTTTTATGTCATTGTTTTCGCATAGATTATTCCCGGAATCCAAAAGCGTTCGGCCTCAGGGATAATCATTGCAGGACAGGTGGGGTGCGGAAAGCACATTTTAGTCTTTATAAGAAGTGTTTCATACAGTGCTGTTCGCTGCGGTTGCTGAGCGCCGTCGGATTTGGCACGGAGCTGGCCTTTCCCGATTCAAATTTTCTCCTTATAATTGCTGATTTTTCCAATTTTAGCTGATTTCGATATGCACATCTGATAAAATGTGGTTTGAAAAACCACGTAATTGCCATGTCAGCTTGTGGTGCCTCATCGGCGATCTTCGTATCAGCCGCACACGACGCGAACAACCGATCGATCAATATTTATCAACAAAATTTAACAACGGAAAAATTGAAAGGGGTGAGGAGAGCGACTCCCTTGCTGCCGACCACAGGGAGCACACTGATGATCTTTTGTCTGGTGGCGCGCCTACTTCATTTGCTAAGTCCACTCTCAAGATATAGTCGTTCCCTGCGGAACGAAGGGGCGTGACAGAGTATGTGTACCCCGTAACACACTCATACTGCCTGACACGCCCCTTCATCCGCAGCGAAACTGACGGCATGAGGCCAAGTGGGTCGTCCAGTGGATCCTCGATGTTGCAACGCGCACAACTAGTTAGTGACTCCTAGCTAGTCGACTCAGCGTGATGAAACACTTTCAAGTTGAACTATCCAGGTCCTGATGCGAATGCAGCACATGGGATCTAACCATTGGAAGCTTTGATTGCGGCGTCATTGCCATGTGAATCTCCTGACCGATAGCTTAGGCTATGAAAATGTGGTGGAAACAGATATTTTCTTATATTTCGGACCTTTCCCGACCATCATCCATTTAAAGCATAGTATTTATTTCT